ATGGTAGTAAGCTGTTAAAAAACCTGTAGTGAGCTTAGGCTTGAAGAAAAACTGTGACAAAGGGAAGAAGAAGAATAAACATAGAAAGGATGGAAAGAAGCTGCATAATGAAATGTCTTCAGTATCATAGGGAAGAAATCAACTAAATAATAGCTGTAGCTCACAGGCTTGGGAACAAGAATGGAAAGGACAGTGGGCTGAGCTTCAGTGAAATCAGTTTCTCACCCCTTCTATATCAGCCTTAATTCCTAGAGTTTCCATTTCCTTCCTGGGCAAATAGAGCTCTTTACTGCCAGGGAATCTGTTTGGATCTGTATAAGAGTGAGCCACATACTTGGTCCACTTCCTTCTTCCCAAGACCCCCATTTTCTAAGTAGATTCTTTTCTTTCACCATTTTAGTTCCTATAGCTCTGTTCAGCCTTCTTAGAGTCCTCTTACTCTAGAGTGTTTAGGTGAGCAAAGGCAAATACAAATTAAAAATAAGTTGATGCCCCCTATTGAAAATAGGGGGAAGAGATTTTCCTCTCCTCCTTTTTCCTTGAGCATTTACCTTAAAAAACTTGGAATTGTAAGTATTTTCTCTGCTCTTTGAAATGTATATAAATCCTTTTGAAGCCCAAATGGACCTTTTGTCAGAGGGTCTCTTGCCTATTTTATGACCCAGAATGGCTTTCTCAGCCGGCGTTGGTGGTATAATGGTGAGCATAGCTGCCTTCCAGAATGGCTTTCTCAAGGACCTGGGAACTATCTGTTTGAAATGCCAACATCCGGGGCGCCTGGGTGGCTCAGTCATTAAGCGTCTGCCTTCGGCTCAGGTTGAGATCCCAGGGTCCTGGGATCGAGCCCCGCATCGAGCCCCGCATCGAGCCCCGCATCGAGCCCCGCATCGAGCCCCGCATCGGGCTCCCTGCTCTGTGGGGAGCCTGCTTCTCCCTCTCCCACTCCCCCTGCTTGTGTTCCCTCTCTCGCTGTGTCTCTCTCTGTCAAAGAAATAAATAAAATCTTTAAAAAAAAAAAAAAAAAGAAATGCCAACATCAAAGAAGATAACACCCACATCTCCACTTTCTAATGGAGGGTAGGGGCCAAATTTCAGTGGGCACCTTACTCAATTTTGCAAAATTGCCTCCTGTTATAAAGAGATGAGAAGTTTATATTTCCTTTGGATAAAGCAATTTAGCTAACACAGATGGTCACCCCAATTACCAGGTAAAGTTAGAATGAATTATGTGTAACAAATGGAGCTGCCAAGTCCTCTTATTTAAGAATCAGTTATTATTTATCTTGAAAACATATATATAATTGGTTGTATCTGCTTGAGTCTATAAGGTGGGGTAATTCCTTTCTGCCTGCAATTTCTTAGCAGATTGCCTGTCATGTGCAGCACATTCTGGTTTAATGCTTCATTCATTAGTAAATGTGTTTTCTTTCTCTACTACATTTGTGAAGAGCATTTCTGGGTTAAGAGAAGATTTTGTTTTTAAGTATTTTTGTCCAGCAGGTACCAACCATTCTTTTCCTGATGGCTCATTGAAAATTAATCTACAGGGGCACCTGGGTGGCTCAGTTGGTTGCCCAACTCTTGATCTCAGGTCATGACCTCAGGGTCCTGGGATTGAGCCCCAAGTAGTCTCTGTGCTCAACAGGGAGTCTGCTTGAGGATTCTCTCTTTCTCCCACTACCCCTCCCCACTCTACCTCTTTCTCTCTCTCTCTCTAAAATAAATAAATCTTTTTGAAAAAGAAAAGAAAAAGAAAATTAATATACAGAGGTGCCTGGGTGGCTCAGTCGATTAAGCATCTGCCTTCAGCTCAGGTCATGATTCCAGGGTCCTGGGATAGAGCCACCTGTTGGGCTCCCTGCTCATCGGAGAGTCTCCTTGTCCCTCTCCCTCTGCCCCTCTCCCCCAAGTAAATAATAAATAATTCTTCAATAGTGTAGATGCCCTGGAAGTTCTCTGGTGAGCCCAGAATCTCTCTCTCTCTCAAGTAAATAATAAATAAAATCTTACCAAAAAAAGAGAAAAAGAAAATTGATATACAAACATACATTGTGGCAGAATGCAAAAGACATCCTAAAAAAGTGTATGCCTACGGGAAAAGAGGTAAACTCACAATACCGTTAGTTTGAGGGTGTTACTTTATCCAATATCAGCAGCTGACATCTTCAATGATGTATTTATTATTGTTTAACTAAAGTTTTTTAGACTAGCTTTTTTCCCCCTTTGATTCTAAGTAAGTACAGGTCAGAATTCACCTTACGTTGAGTTTCTGTCCTGAAAACAAGATTGTGATCCATAAAATAATGTTAAAATGACATCTGGAAGTTTTTCCAAATGGGAAAAAATAGCTTTTCAAATATTTTTATTGGTATATATGAATACTAAACATTCGCAGTGTACATAACAGAAGGGTCATTGTAGTCTACGGAAATTACCGTCATCCATAATAAAACATTTCATGAGAGGTCACTGAAACCATGGAAACCATTTAGCAGCATATTCTCTCCCACCAGCTGCTATATATCGATGGTGATTGGCCTTTGACAGATATTTGCTGGTGGAAGCCATGTGTTTCCCCATGGGATAAGGACTGTCATATTGGAGACTAGCTAGGCATCACTCTTATACAGGGACAACAGCAAAACAAAGATGTCCATGTGGTGATGGATATACAGGAAATCTTGGTGAGAGAAATGGAGGACTAAGTTCCCTGTGGCCAGTAACCAGTATGTGTTAGGAATACAGAATTAAACAAAAATTTTAGAGATGTCATTGCAATACCAAGATGAAGAATATGGATGACACATATTTCATTTCATAAATCAACTTTAATTGTGAGTGACTGATTGGAAAACTCTGCTGAGAAAGACTCTAAGGTTGTATCACGAGCTCAGAAGCAGGAAGCAGCAGCCCATGAGTCACATATTTACTATTCCTCATAAAAAGGCTCTTTTTGCACTTTGTGCTTTGGTTAGACTTACTGAAGGAATATAGGCTGACCTCGTCTATAAGAGAGAGCCAGGAAATGACTGCAGTCAGTTAGATGACAAATCCTGACACAGGCTGTAGCATGAGGGATGACTGACAAGTTTTTGACCACAAGAATCCAACTCACTCAAAGCCATAATTTATGGAGACTGGGGAGGAAACATCTGTTCAACAACTCCCCCAAATTTCAGAGCTGAAGGACTTGTCTTAGGGGGAAAAAACACATAGGAATCAACTAACTTCTAAGAAAGCAAAGGAGAGTACTCAGTAGGGGCCATGCTAGCCAGTGATCACCTAGGGCATTTTTGAAGAAGTCATACCTCTCCTTGCTGGTTGATTTTTAATTTTTCCTTCAATCCCAACCCATTTTATTTATGGAATCCTAGCCTATAAGGTATCTTGGAACTTATGGAATACAACTCCCCAATCTTCCAGAAAAAGAAGAAAGGTGAAACCCAGAAAGGTAAATTGTTTAAGGTTACATAGCTGCTAAGTAGCAAGGCCAGGGCTAAAAACCCAAGGACCAGAAGATGTCAGTGCTCTTCATTTCATTATTCTGGGAGACTGACCCTGCCTCCTTCACTCAGTCAACCTGGAGTTCTTTTCTCAGGCAAACCCTCACCTCATGAAGGACCCCACCAGGGTCCTGTGCTTAGACTTGGAGGTATGTCTTAAGTGACAAATACTGTGTGATTCCATGTATATGTGGTATCTAAGGTAGTCATATTCATATAAACAGAATGTCAGGGGCTGGGGAGAGGGAAAACTTGGGAGTTGTTTAATGGGCATAGTTTCACAAGATGAAAACATTCTGGAGATCTGTTGCACAGTAATATGAATATATGAAATACCATTGAACTGTACACTTAAAAATGGTTAAGATGATAAATTTTATATATATATTTATCACCATTGTTTTATTTTATTTTATTTTAATTATGTTATGTTAGTCACCATACAGTACATCGTTAGTTTTTGATGTAGTGTTCCATGATTCACTGTGTATAACACCCAGTGCTCCATGCAATACATGCCCTCCTTAATACCCATCACCAGCCTAACCCACCCCCTGACCCCCCTCCCCTCAGAAACCCTCAGTTTGTTTCCCATAGTCCATAGTCTCTCATGGTCTGTCTCCCCCTCTGATTCCCCCCCTTCATTTTTCCCTTCCTTCTCCTAATGTCCTCCATGCTATTCCTTATGTTCCACATATAAGTGAAACCATATGATAATTGTCTTTCTCTGCTTAACTTCTTTTAAAAATAGGCATATGTAAATCTCTCAGAAGTAACAGTCTCTCCATATATTTTTCACCTTTTATCACAAAACAAAGTTGATGCATAAATTGAGAGGACTGGCCTTAAGAAGGAAGTTGCTAATCTGACCTCATATTGCTAGGACATGAGCATTGGGAAAGGACCTAGTCCCTGATGAGGTTGGGAAAGGCTTCTCATGGGTGGGCCAGAAAGGGCAATGAGTGCCTTATATGGGGGAAAAAGAATACCACTGGTGAACAGAGGCCAATCAGATCAGCAGAGGCCAAGCCAGGAGAGAGGTGCGTATTATGCCAGCAATAGCAAATTAGCAGAATACTCAAGAGGAAAATCTTTCCTCATCAATGTCCACAGACCAAAAGGGAACATTGGATAATTGCTACCATATGACTGTGGGATCCTATAATTTGTCTATTAGAAGAGACATCATTTTTCCTGATTTCCTTTGTTTTCATAAAACTTCTGTCTGTGGCTTACAAGTGATAGAATAAATATCAGCTCTGGGCAATAACCAATGAAGGAGAAAGAACATTGTCTCTAGAGTCTGAGTCCAGTTGTATCAACTTCCAGCCTGGTAATTCAAGATGACAAGAAAAAATATAGATAAAACTCCTACCACAGTAGCTGCACAACTTAGAAAATGACGCTCTGGATAAATTAGGCCTAGAAACATTAAGTGGCCCTATGCACATGATCACATCCCAGTATCATCTTTCCAGTATATGTATGAAAACATACCTGTGTAGTTCAGCACCATCCTAATCTCTCCCATCCACCTCATAGAAACTCTCTGCCCTTCCCATCAATTGGTCAATGACTGATTCTCCTAAAAATAAGAGAAGGAAGGAGAAAGGTAGTGAGAAGGGCACAACCACCAGACCAGCACCATCATATCCATATTTTAATAGAAAACATTTACATAATAGGAAGCTTAAGTTTTATTATGTCCCTGCTCAAAACCTTTTGTGGTTTCTGATATGCATGTTCAAGTGTTTAAGGGAAACAGTAAATAGATTGATGGATAAATAAAAGAATAAATGTGTTTAGATATGTAATTATATAAGCCAGTTGCTGGTTATAAAATTCTTTCAATTTTTCTCTATGGTTGAAAATTTTTATAATAAAATGTTGAAGGAAATAATTATCCATGATATCCTAACATAGCAGTTTAAGCACAGAAGATACTTAATATATGTTTGTTGTATAAAACCACAAGTGGGTGATAAATACTTTGACAAATGACAATTTCCAGTGATGGAAATAGCACAAATCTCAACAGGATTTAAATAAAATACAAGATCTAAGAAAAATGGTCTTTTCCTCGATGCAATGGATGTATAATATAAGACCTGAGGAACCTCTAATTCTTTTTCCAAATTTTGTCAATATTCATTATGAATGAATTTGCCTTTTACCTGTCCCCTGGAAAGTCATTTTCTAAGCATTCAAGAGTCCACAAGGAAGTTACTACAGAACTATTATGTGTTTATGCCAAGTCTAATCTCATACTTACTCTCTTAGCAGTAGTTGACGAACCAGGATACAGGGATGCACTTGGTATAAATTCTAGTCTCAAATCTGCTACCAAATTCCATAAGGTATTCATCAAGTTACTCATCACAACTTACTTTGGGTCCCATAATCACCAAACAGGAGTTATGCCAAGTATATGAGACAGTGGTAGAGCCAAAGTCAACAGCCCTACCTCACAGACATTGCCTCTGAGGTTTCTTGCTTAATATGGCTCCTGGGCCCCCTGTAAGGTATTACCCATATGTTCACCCAATAAGACACAAATGTGGGGATGATCACCATAACTCTAAACATTGTACAGCAGTTTAGAGTCCACAAAGTAATTTTCATGTACCTTATCTTTAAAGCACATAACATTGCTCTTAAGTAACGTCTCCCCTTTACAGATGAGTAAAGTGAGGATAAACAAAATAAAATTTCTTCAGGGTCAGTATAGAAGTCGAGGACCAAGCCCAAGTTTTCTGGTTCTGAATCTTGCTCTGATTTCATTGCATTGTCATCCATCCCATTCCTTAAGCCACCAGGCTCTCCCATTAGATATGGTTCTCATTTTAAACTGAAGTGACCTCCCCAGGTTACAAACTTAGGGCCTCTTAGGATCTCTGTACCCTGTTCCTGGCTGCCATTTTTACCACATAGCAAATGAAGGGCGAATGCCACTGAATCAAGAAATTTTTCTTCCCTTTCCTGAGGATGCCCTATCATTCATCTTCCCCATATGTCCAACTCAGCACCGGAGGAGTTTTAAGAGCCAGTTTTAATGGAAACAGATTTGATTGCACACTAAGACCTCCTTCTAGTTTAAAAAAAAAGTCAGCTAGGTATCTCTACCATGCAAAAAGGCATTTGGCAGAAGCTAAGATGGATCTTGAGCACACATCCTCATAAAATATATCAAAGGATAGAATTTCCCAAAGTTCCTTCTACCTGAATGCAAAGTGATGCCCACAAACTTCAAATAAATAAAAACATAACACTTCTGAAGATATAAACAAGATGTTAAATAGGAAAGATGTGCCATAGGAATTGCCAAATAGATTGAAATGAAAGGGAAGGAAATCAGGAGGGTGGAAGTCAGAAGGAAGTATTTCCCTAGTGTTGTGCATGTTTTATCGTATTTAGTCTCACAATTACCTAACCAGGTAGTTATTATTATTCAGTTTTGAAGAAATCGAGGCACAGAGTCATTAGAGGACATGCCCAGGGACAGCCATTAAATGAGTTGGGATTCAAACCCAGATCTGTCTGAATCCAATGACCATTTTACCACCGAGGACTAGGAGAGGAATAAAGAGATATCAGATGTCAGGCCCCTTCTTTTAGAAAAAGTTCAAACCAGTGGTAACTTTGAAGTCCACATTAGTCTATTTAACAGTTCTTTCCCCAGCTTCTTTAAAGTTTTTGTCTGTTTATTTATTTATCTATTTATTTGAGAGAAAGAGAGAGAGAGAGCAGGCATTCATGAATGGGGGGAGAGGCAGAGGGAGAGGGAAAGGAAATCTCAAGCAGACTCTGCACTGAGCATGAAGCCTGATGTGGGGCTCGATCCCAGGACATGAGATCATTACCTGAGCTGAAATCAAGCGTCTGATGCTTAAGCAACTGAGCCACCCAGCACCACCAACCGCCCAGCTTCTGAAACGCCATCATGCTCACTAATAAGGTAGTCCAGTATCTCCCTAGCTGAGGTCATTTGAGTCCATTCTAGGATTAGTAGAGGAATTCAGTGGCAAATCCTCAGTGTTATCTGCCAGTCACCTGCCTCATTTCCTGGTGAGGAATAGGTCGTCTTAGCTGCCTCTGTCACAGTGTGTGAAGGATAAACCAAGAAGCCATTTAGGTCAGACTCCAAAGATTGTTCTATAAGCCAGATCACAATGTTGACTTTACCTAGGAGTGAAAATCCCAGGAAAACTGATTTGTGCTACCAAAATTCATACTAGTCAGATTTGTTCCAGTGAAAGAGAAGTTGGACAAGCTGCCAGAATTCCCAAACTCTGGGTCATTCCAGAGACTTATAATGAGCTGGGGCTGGACAAAATGATATTGGTCTCTACCCAGGATTTCTCACCTAGAGGACACCGAGCATTCTTTGCATCCATTTACACTTTAGGTCTCTTGGTAGATTTCTTTTGAAATCTGTTGCTGGAAAAGATTTGTTTAAAACTATTTATTCTAGGGCGCCTGGGTGGCTCAGTTGGTTAAGCGACTGCCTTCGGCTCAGGTCATGATCCTGGAGTCCCGGGATCGAGTCCCACATCGGGCTCCCTGCTCAGCGGGGAGCCTGCTTCTCCCTCTGACCCTCCCCCATCTCGTGCTCTCTCTCTCTGTCTCATTCTCTCTCTCAAATAAATAAATAAAATCTTAAAAAAATAAAAATTAAAAAAAAAAACTCTTTATTCTAAATCTTTCATCTTAAACATGGACACTGGTACTTCCACAGGGGAAGGGGTTTTCTCAAGGTCACCCTAGGGGTCAGGATGGGCAGGGTTACACTGCTCTAACAAGAAGTCCAAAAATCACAGTGGCTTAGCTCAGCAAAGGTGTATTTCTTCCTCACACTTCACATGTGTTTTTCTGACACGTAATCCCTCAGAGACTCAGACTGACAGAAGCTCCATCTTAGTACATGCTTACACGATTACAAGAAAAGGAGAGATGGCATCAGGTGCTAGCAAGTTGATACTTCTACACACAAGTGATATATATCTTTTCCACTCACATTTCATTGCCCACGGAAGTCACAGGCCATGCCTGATTTTAAGAGACTATAGAAGTTCTACTGTGGTACCCAGCCAAAAGGAAGAGAGCAGCAATGTTTGTGAACAGCTCGAAGAACAACCAGAGTCACATAGCTGGTTAAGTACTAAGCCAAAACTAGAACACTGTTTATGAGTTTTTCTACTTCCCTATCCTTCAAGGCCTAGATCAAGTTCTACCTTTTACACAAAGCAATCTCTGACTATGCTGGCCCACTTTGCTCTCTCCTTTACTCTGTTTTTCTGATTCTTTAAACTCTATCTGGATACATTGGTAACTGTCCTCCACTGAAACCCAATACCTTCCTTCTTTTAAGACTAGGGAATATTTATTGGGTAAACATATTCGTGCATTGAACACACACAAACACACAAACAAACAATTTTTAAGAAAACTCTCCATTGATGCTGAATCCTACACTCTCCAAAAATGGTGCTAGAAAGAGAAAGGTCCTTCTCTCTGGACTCAGTAGAATACAAGACAGGGAGAATTTAGGGGGGCAGAGCAAGATGGCAGAGGAGTAGGAGACCTGGATTTCATCTCCTATCAGGAATTCAGCTGGACAGGGATCAAACCATTCTGAACACCTACAAACTCAACAGGAGATCGAAGAAAAGAATAGCAACAACTCTCTGAACAGAAAAGCAACCACTTTCTGGAAGGTAGGACATGCAGAGAAGTGAATCCGAGGCGATATTCGGGAGGATAGACAGTGGGGGAGGGGCCTCCGTCAGCCGCTTCTGGCAAGTGATAGAGCCACTGAGCACAAAATCAGAACTTTTAAAAGTCTGCTCCGCTGAGGGACGTCACTCTGGTGGCTAAGCGGGGGGTGGAACCCTCCGGGACAGTGTGGTCTCAGGACCCTTGGGGTCACAGAAAGACCGGGGGTGCCTGAGTGTGGCAGAGCTCCCAGGTAATAGAGCAGGTAAGCCAGCTGCAAAGGCGGAGCCCAGGCGCGGCTCTCAGCTCAGGGTTCTCATAAACTGTGATCCGCGGGACAGTTGGGCCACTGCTCCTCCAGCAGGGACCCAACAAGCAGCAGATCCAGGGAGACTCACCTTCCTCCCCTGGGAGGAGAGGAGCAGGAGTGCACCGCAGGGATCTGCTGGGTTTGGAGACTCCACCCGGGGTCGGGTGCCAGAGATAGAAATGCACAGTCACAGGCCGGGTGAGCACAGAGTGCGGCCGGAGACCAGGTAGCCAGGAGTGACTGACGGCTTTTCTCTGGGGGCTCACTGAGAAGCGGGGCCCGAGTTCTCGGCTCCTCCGGGGTGGAGATTGGGAGGCCGCCATTTTCACTCTCCGCCTCCAAAGCTGTAGGGAAAGCTCACAGGGAACAAAAGCTCTGGAGAGCAACCCGAGCAGATTACTTAGCCCGAACAGGGCAAGGGCAGGGCAATTCCGCCTCTGGCAAAGACATTTGGAAACCACGGCAACAGGCCCCTCCCCCAGAAGATCAGCGAGAACAGCCAGCCAGGACCAAGTTTACTGATCAATGAGAACGGCAGAACTCCAGCACTAGGGGAATACTGC